TCCCTAACGTTCTGTGATTCTGTGAAAGCACTTCTCTCCCAGCTATACCAAGGCAAACAGCAGGAAGCCAACTTCTGGTTTGTGGGTTTTTTTCTGTTTGTCTGGGTTTGTGGTTTTTTTTTTTTGTGTGTGTGTGTGTTTGTTAAGAATCACCATGTATGTATTCTGGCTGATACATTCAGATTCACTTGAAATTCAGAAGTTCTGTATTTCTCTTTAATCTGTTCATTGGCACAAGGGTAAGTTTGACACAGATGCCAAGCTTTCAGACTCCAACCTTTGTGTACTCAGCTCCAGCTTTTGCTAGAAAGGAGTTAAGCTTTCAGGGCCACAGGCATCTGGGAGAAAATTAAAAAATAATGGGTGAGAGGAGGACTGATGTATTTGTGTTGTCAGCAGAATGTGATGGCATCATAGGTGTGGAATCTGAGATGACGACTGTCCGTCAGAAACGCCGCCAGCAAAGAGCTTCTCTCATCATTAGAGCAGAGTGATGTTTTGCAGGGACTGGCATATAATTAAGATACTGTTTTGTGAATTAAATCTGAATCAGTTTCAAGGAGAAGTTAAATTATTGTTTTAGTTCCTGTTTCTTGGGGCACACATACAGAATATCACTTTGAGTTACTTGGGTCATGCAGCAGAGCCATTCCACAGTCAGCCTGTCTGTTTGTTTACCTGTCTGAAGGGTGACCTTGGTTCTTCTGCATTTTATATGGCACTGAGTTGTTCTTCCAGAAACTTCAGTATTAATCTACATTCACAGATTCATTCTCGTGGTCACCAGAATACTTGCAAGTCAGGTAGTGAACAGAGAGAAGGTTTAATTCATATATCAACTTTAAACTGTAGGTCTATTTTTATTTATTAATAGGCAGTCTCCTTCTTACATGCCATAAGTCCAGTAGTTTCAACCAGACCGGTTTTTCATGTGAAAAAATATATGGACTTGCTGTTTGTTTATCTGTTTAAAAGAATCTGACAAAATGGTTTCCTTTAGGAGCAAATGTTTTCTCACCATCTCTGACCTTCAGTGAATTCATATGAAGAACGTGAGCCAAAGTCACACATAAGTGATTGAAAAAGCATTTTGGGTACCATGTATAGTGCAGGTAGCAGATATTACTGGAAGAAGCAGCAAAGGAACAAATATTTCTCTTTGTGTATAGGGAGCTTTCATTTGCATTCAGTACTTTGAGCTGTGTACTTTGTACAAAGTACAAGTATTTTGACGTTATGTTTTCTTATGCTTTCTGTAAACCTATGGGTGTAAAATGAGCCAACACTCACAGTATATTTGAAGGATCCTTAGTCTCATTTCCACTTTGGGTTCAGTTAGTACTGCGCTCATTTCTAGCCTGGATGTTGTAGTTCAGCTTTCAGATGCTATAGTGGGGCAGAGCACCTGTTTTGCTTTTCCCAAAGGTTATAATCAGTTCATTCAGTGTTCAGCCAGGCATTCCTTCCCAGGCCCTTTCCGAGAAGAATGAGCCATCTGCTCCAAGTCCCTCTGCAGACAGCAGAAAGTATTGTTCACGTTCTGCTGTTTTTACAAATTCTATGGGACAGACTAGTTAGGTCTTTAGACTTTTTGGCTTATTGTCTAGATTTTAAAACTATTTTTTAGATATAAGTTCTACCTGCACATCTATGGGTGTTCAAGTTTATATTCCTTTGCAGTATATGTTGTGTATTATTAAGGTGAGTCACTGAGTCTGTCTGAAATGGATTCTTTTTTTAGTCTTTGGTATGAATCAAAGATGTCTTTTTGACACCAGAAAAATTTGCATGAGGAGACCCAGTTTCAAAGTACACATTTGGTTTCTCTGTATAGATATTGCAATGATTTGATTGATATTCACTTCTCTCTGGAAACTATACTGCTATCTACTGTATGTCTGCTGTGGAAAGGTAGTAATTATGCAACTTTTGTAATGTTATTGTCGTATTTTCAGCTCCCTTGAAGAGTGATACCCTTGTTCGAGAACATTTTTATAATACAGAGACTACAAGGTTTTAATTTAGCTCTGTATGGTATGATTCTGTTTTCAACAGAGCACTCACCCACCTGTACCCAACCACACGTGCGTTTGGATTAACACTAGCTTCTGTCTCTGACAGGTTTTATATCTCATCCTTTTCACACCAGGATTGAGGTTAAGTACAGAAACACCTGCCTTGCCTTCACTACTCCTAAAATGTTTGTTGAGTGCCACTGTTTACACTTCGATAGAGTCTTGTCTGTCACCTAGAATCTTTCATAGCTATTCATTTTCTAAATCATCTGGGTTTATGATGCACTTCCTCCACTGACCTAAGCAAAGCTCCACACCTATGTTTTGAAAATCAGATTATGCAGTTTACCCGTAAGCAGCTTTATTTGCCTTTATTGCTGTCATTATTACTTTCTGTTTGTCAGGATGGTCAAGAGAACAAATGTGAGACTGTGAGTCAGGAACATGAATGGAACATAGTGTGAGTCAGGAACGTTAATCCTGGATTGACACACATCACAGCTTTGAATGCTCAGCTCACTTTCTGCACCAGGTTTTCTGTCTCCTTACCTGGGAGGGGATAGAAAGGTGAATTTATTTTTTCTCTTTTCAAAATGCTCTGCCCATGCCAGATACAGCATGGGGTAGTCAGAGCTTCAGAAATAGTTACACAGAATACTGGCAGCACACTAGAGTGGTTTTGGTATTTTCAGTTTAGTAGTCATAATTTATCAGCTGATTATGAATGAATTTTTCTACACAGCTAGGAAATTAAACATTTTTTGCTGCAAGAGAAAGTGGTTTACTTTTTTTCCTTAAGCTTACAATTGCTTGCTGTGCCTCGAGTTATCTGTGCAGATTGCAAACCTGACTTGAAGGAGGCTGCAAGTGTGTTCTTGTGTGGATCCAGCAATCCTTGATGTGTTCGTGTAATGCCAGAATTACTCAGAGAGGTGCCTTACAGGCCTTCTGTGAAGCAACTAGAGGAGTAACATTTGAGAGGGACGTGAAGCATGTTGTACTTCTGAACACTCCAGAACTGCTGTTTTCAGCCACTGAGGTACCAGGACACGGTACAGATGCTGCCTGAGCATTCTTTGCAGTTTCTCCTTTCTGTCAGTGTAGTAGAAGACAATTGTGCTTATTAAGTTGTATCAGAAACTTCAGAAAGTCATATTTTCTGTTGCTCTTAATTCTGACAGACCTAAGCTCTTTGGTCTGAAATTTTCCACCAGCTCTCCGTGGGATGTGTATATATGTATATATATTATGTTTATGCTAAAAACATTTCTTCATTTATAAAAGTAAGGAAAAAAAAATGGCGTTCTTAAAAACGTTCTTGTGCCATTTAGTTCAGAAGTATGGGAACTAACAGTTTGGTAGGGAAGTTGTGAGTAGTTTTTTTGTCTTCCTTGTGAGAATTCACCTAAATTTTGCCAACTTACTAACCCCTACATTCTCTAAGGAGAGTATTTATTCTAAGCCTGCTTCTTACTGAGTTTGCAAGAGCTGAGTAGAAGCTTCAAGATGGTAATTTCTTGTGAATGCCAGGGACTGCCCCAGTCCTTGGCAGCAGTGGTGAGAACCAAGGGACATCAGGTGGTGCTCTGTGTTTGTGTCCTGTCCAGGAAGGGGAGGAAAAATACAGGGGAGGGGAAGTGAATGGAAGAAAGGGTGAGGAAGGCAAGAGCTGAAGAAGGTGAAAGATGATGTGGAAATAGGGCAAGACAGAAGTGAGTGGAGTGGATATATGCATGAGAACACAGGGCAGATGACCAAGAAAGGAAGTGTGGGAAGTAGCGAGGAACAGGGACAGGACAAAGCAGAAGAGCTAGGGGGAAGGAGCTATGACAAGCAAAAGGAGCATGGTTGCTGAGTGAGGACAGAGGTTTTGGATCTTTGAGATCTCTGTAGCCTGCTGATTCACCACCTTGAGGGATAGTGGGTTGTGCAGGGCTGAGCAACAGCTAACAGAATCTTCTGGAACTGTTAATGTGCCTCTACCACAGCATAATTCTGTATGGTTACATTTTCATTCAAGATGCAGAACCGAAGTGGAAGAAATAAAGATTTATCTTTCTGGGTGGAATTTTTGATAGTTACAAAATTGGAAAGCCCTTCTCTCAAAGGGGTAAGAAGTGCCAGAGGTATGATTAGTCCTGCAGTCTTTCTTCAATCCTCTTGTCTTTTGGTACACAGTCACAAGGTATTTTTCAATGACAGAATACCTTCATGACAATGTTTTACTTTCCAGAGGCTCTGTGGACTTCCCTTGCTGATGGCAAAGTCAGGCTGCGAATAGATAACTCATGTCCACAGACTCCCATAACAGTTCATCAGATGTTCAAGGAGAGCCTAGAAAAATATGGATCCTTTAATGCTCTGGCCAGCAAAAAGAACGGAAAGTGGGAGAAGATAACTTTTTCGGAATATTATTGCCTTTCCAGGAAGGCAGCCAAGAGCTTCTTGAAGGTAAGTACAGAAAAAAAGAAAACAATTCCTTTTTCTCCCTTTATGTCTCCTAAAAAAAACCTAAACCAAATAAACAAACAAAAAAACTGAACAAAAACCCCACAAAACCAACAAACCCCAACCCCAAGACCACAGTATAAGAGGGTTTTCCCGTTAATTGAACATCAGCAGTCATGTTCTTTGTTGAAATAATGATGATGAAAATTATTTTTTGGTCAAAGAGAGAACATTGCTGTCAAGGGAACTTGACTGCAAGTGAAGAGCTGCCATGTTACACTGTCTCGCTCAGGCATGGGTACAAAGCTCAGCATAAGGCCTTAAGATTAAAAAAGGAAAAACAGGCAAGAGACAGCAGTACTGTTATGAATCTGGCAAGATAAAGACAAATTTTAACTGCTTCTAAACATCGGATAAGATTAGTTCTCATTATGCTTCTGTTCATATTGAAAAGTTCTGGTTTTCAGGCCTTTCTGGGCAGCAGAGCTCAGCCAGGCAGACTGTAATGGAAAGTTTAGATTATGTTAATTGTTGATAAATACTGGTTTTGCTGTGGATATCAACATAGAGATGTCTTATCAATACTGAAATAAGAAAGAAATCAAAGCTTTCCATGGTTTATATTTGTATGTATGTTTTGTGCTGTATGTTCCTCTCCGGTGTGCTTATATTTTATAACCTTATGCTTATTATTTTTAAGCTTGGTCTTGAACGATTCCACAGCGTAGCAATCCTTGGGTTTAATTCTCCAGAATGGTTCATCTCTGCTGTTGGAGCTGTTTTTGCTGGGTAAGATTTTTTTGTTTGGTTGGCTTTGTGGGGGATTTGGGGACTTCTGTTTCGCTAGGTCTGGAAATGTAGCAAATCAGTATTTGGTGTCATATCCTGGAAGTTGGGCTGCAGCTGATTTAGCATGTTCAGTGACTTACTCAAGTCTCATAACTTTCAGTATATCCAGAATAGTCCAGGCACTCACAAATTGTTCCTGTGTGCTGTGGGTTTGACTGTGACAGTCACACTGAAGCTGTTGTACAGTATTTTATCATTGGAAGATGTGGGAAACAGACAGGACTCTCAGTTTTATGTTAATGATAATCATCTATAGCAGGATATGTTCAAGTAGATTAAGTGACAGATAAATACTGACTGATTCCTGATACCTGTTTATATAGTTTGGATTTTACCTCTCAAGCTGTTTCTGTGCCAGTGAAATTCAAATCGGTCTGTGTGCAGCTTGAACAGAAAGATGATATAATTTATTTTTTTTTACCACACCCTGAGCTTTCTCTCATATAGCCTCAAGTGAGTTAAAATGCTGAACCTCAGCCTATGACATCTTCTACTGAATAGAGTTTAGAGATTAAATTTTGCAATGTGCATATATCAGAGTTATTAATGTATATCTGAGTACTTGAAACCAATATGACAGCTGTGCTGCTGTTTACTTCCACATCTTCATACTCTTTCAGCTTCCAACCGATCTGTGATTACTATTCTCTTTTTGGATACTAAGTGCATGTACGTGTGTATGTATATAAATATACTTTTATATATATAAAATTATATATACATATAAATATATATATATACACACAGTGGAATTGTCACAGGAATATATACAACGAATTCTCCAGAGGCCTGCCACTACATTGCTTATGACAGCAAAACCAATATAATGGTTGTGGAAAATCGGAAGCAATTGGACAAGATAATGCAGGTACGAGATGGCTGAATGGTTACATAAAAGCCATAATTTTCCCATTTCTCTATGTTGTATTGGTCCCAAATACTGTATTTAATATGTTGAAACTTTTCATGGCAGAATTCTTATTCAGAAATCTGGTATCTGATGTTTGAGCTCTTGGGTAACTTGGCAGCTCTGTTCTCACAGTGTCTGTGGCCCGCATCAAAGCAATTCTGATTCTCTCCAGCAGAGCTCACTGACTGGTTCACTGCAAATTTACCTGGAAAAGTAAAAATCACATTTTGATCCCACGTTTGCTATGTCACCACCTGATTGTTGGGCTAGTTGGTTGTAAGTTTAGGGGAGAATATTTGAGGGTGGAGGGAAACAGGAGGTTTCTTGTGACTACGAAGCCATTATGGTTTTGGCAGTATTTTAGTGAAAAAAAAGTCACATAAGATATGAATAATAAATAATAAATTTGTTTTTAAAAATCCAACAGATCTGGAATCGCTTGCCACACTTGAAAGCTGTTGTGCTGTATAAGGACTCCATTCCAGAGAGACATCCAAATCTGTATACGGTATGTGAATGCTAGAACACAGTAGAAATTCATTATATTATTTATTTGATGAATTTCTACTGTGTTTAATCTATGATATGTCTACCATTTAGAATGCATTGCTCTGTTCCAGCAAACACATTCAAAAGCTTCATCAACTTTTTCTGCTTATTTACCTGGAACTCTGTGTTTGATGCTTGACATTTAAAATTAGAGCTACTTTGTTTAACTATCTGTCTTGTGTCTTCCTGGCTTTTTACTTGTTGGATTAACAAAACACCTGTAGGCCTCAGGTGAGAATATGTACTCTCAAACTGTTGAAAATAAGTTGTCCACTGGTGCTAGTGAGAATTGGGTTGTGGTCAGTTACACTGGAATCAAGAACATGAAAACACTTACATTTTTACAGATGATAATTGTGTTTTGCTTGCACTGGATATTTCTGTGATGGGCAAGAAATGAAGAGAAATAACTACAGACAACACAGAGAAGCACATTTTCTTAGTATATGTAGAATCTTTGCATAGCATGCTAAAAATAAAGCAGAAAAAGGGACAAAACCAGGATCAGAAATTTAAGTGCTAAAGTCCAGCCTTTAATTTAAGAAGTATGAGGACTTTAAGCAGAACAGGTTTTTGTAAACATATTATTCCAATATATTTTTTGAAAATATAATTGAAAATAGTTAGGTAACAAGAATACAAAAATCAGCATTTCAAGCGGACTACAGATTATCAGATTCTAGCACGAAAAACTTAAACTGGGGAAAAAATACATTCATGAAGAGTGAACCATGTTGGAATATTTTAAAATATTTGCAGTTTTGGTTATCTGAGGAGTTACTGGGTACAAAAGAAAAAAAAAATCTTCTGCCCTTGTTTTAATTGTATCTTCTTTTGCTATGTTGAATAGCATATAACTGTTAATAATAAACAGTTACTGTTACAGTACTGGGATGGAGTATGTCTTGCATCTCAGTGCACTAACAAATTAATACAGAGATGATCTTACTATTTGTATTTCTTAGTAAAAAGACTAAGCGCTAGCAATTAATTCTGGAAAAACATTCATTTGCTGAAATCTAAATACCTGAGAGGTATTTGAAAACACCCCTGTTCAAGTGTCACGTTGGATGTACTTTCTCAGCGGAGAAGGGTACCTGTGACAGTGTCTGACAGTTGCCACAGTTTGTTGTCTAAAGGAAAAATTGGAGATCAAATCACCAAAGGCAGGAATGATTGTTTGTTAGGTTTGAGGTAAAGCAAGCCACCCAAACCACGTGAGGTTTGATAAAAGGAATTTGTGTTGCTAGTTGACAGCTAATGTGGAATGAAAAATTGCTGCAGTAAGGGCAGAGTCCTAGTTCTCTGATCTGTGTGTGCTTCCAGAAGGCAAATGCAAAGTCAGTAGTGTGTGTGACAATTTGTTTGAACCTTTCACGCTCTGTGGAATGGGAACGCTGTCTGTAGAAGTGCTGCTCAGTAAACAAAACCTAGACAACAGGATTCACAGTGATTAACGTGTGCTAGTATGAGTAGACAGTAAGGTCAGGCAAACAGGGACAACTGCTAAGTCACACAGAAACAATTACATCCTTGGTACCTCCAGACTTTCCAGGAGTTAGTGAAATTGATGCGGCCACATTCTGTGGGAAGGGATAGGATGTGGCAAATCCTCTACTGCCTACAGAGTTCTGCTGAGTTGTACTGCCTCTTTGGTTTTTGGTTTTGTTTTTGTTTTGTTTTGTTTTTTCCCCCCAGAGATGTGGTTTGTTGGAAGAAAGTACAAAACTGATGATTGGTAATTATAAGAATCCTTAGCACGGCCTTACCACCCAAGGAAAGGAAGTGTAGGTGCCACAGGGACTAACTGCTGTAACCCTAATAGCATACTGGCAGTGGCAGACAGGGTTTGAAGGAACCAATGAACTCCCCCTCAAGTGAATGCTTTCCTTTTTTGACCTCTGCTGTCCTTTGTGTTATCCCATTTACTGCTATGTGGTCCTAGATACAGCTCCAAGAAATAATTGGAGAATGGAAGTGCTGCACCTTGCATTTGAATAACACAGTTCTGTAGAACAGTATGAATCATCTGATTCCAATGGAAAACTGGTGGTTTCGTTACTGATTTTCTTAACAAATTTTGTTAGACCCTAGTTTTCAGTTAGCATTGAAATCAGTGGTACACTTAGCAGCATATCAGATACATGCAATAGAAATATCTGGGAGCAACCAATATAAAACAGAGGGTCAGGTTCAGCATTCTTCTGGGCCAATTTGTGCTGCACAAAAGTCCAGCATCATAAAAGGTTTAGCTCATTCTAGGTTGAGCCAAATTTGAATGGAAGTTGTGACCAGCATCATATGGTCTGCAACAAAATAGCAGATAATTTAGGCAAACATTCACACATCTAGATGATGCTTTTGCACAGAAGCTTTCATCTCATTGCTTTGTATTTATATAGAGGACAAGGAATTATATGCGGAATATCACAAATGTACTCTTACTTAAAAATGGTACATCCAGATTCCTTTAAAGAAGACTCAAAATCATTCTAACAGTGTGAGAGTAACAGAGTTTTAGCTTCTATGACTTGTCCATCTTGGGTGAGGAATAGTATGACCGTTCCCTTCTTAGGCACTGGAAAGACTCCTGATAACACAATTTTGGATAGTCTATTTTAAATTTACACATAAAGTTCTATGCTAGTCTTACATTTCTTACAGAGGAAAGACCTTGGGGAAACTCCCCTTGGAAACACGTTCAGAGCAAGGCACAGAAGTTTTCTGCCATTGCTGAGACTGATAAGGTACTGCATCTTTCCCACTTGTAAGACAGCATTTGATAGCCTGTATTTTCTGTTACCTGTTCTAGATGGAAGAGTTTCTGGAGTTGGGAGATGACATATCTGATACTACTTTGGATGACATTATTAACTCCCAAAAGCCAAATCAATGCTGTGTACTAATATACACATCTGGAACAACTGGGAAGCCAAAAGGAGCCATGCTGAGTCATGATAATGTATGTACTTTAGGCTCTTCCTTTAGCATAAAAATGGCTATGAGGACATTTGTTCCTGTGTTTTGAAGTGGCTGGTATGTACTATAGCCTTGAAATACTCTTGCTTTTGCAACATGGATAGTGTACTACAATGTAGTGTTCAAAATGCAGCTGGTTGTTTCTGGTAAAGTATAAGCGTGGTTAAGAGTGAAACTCCAAACTAGCACTTCACAAGATTGAACAGTTTGCTATGAATAGATATTTTCTTATTCACTGCTTTTCTGGTGAAATATAATGGATATATTCATAAGTATAATTCAAGGATTGTAATAAAGTCTCTCAAGTGATGTCACAGGTCATCTTAAAACAAACAAATCCTATAAATGAACTAGTCACTATCGGAGCAGCCTGACAGACTGCTTTTGCAAGTTGTATTAAAATTGGGTGTGGATGTGTTTGTTTTCGTTTTGGTGGGGTTTTTTTTTGTTTGTTTTTTTTTACTTTGGTGTTACAACATTCCTAGACTTGGGTTTCTACACCTGTCACTGGAGGATAACACAACTCTAGTGCATAGTCCTGGTACTTACAATAGCCCTACCTGCATTCTTGCAAACAGAAAATTTCCAGTGATAGAGAAAAGCAAAGTTGTTTGCAAAAAGGACTTTCCTCAGAGGTCTACTAGCAAAGATCTGGACTGTAGTTGTTTGGGATTTTTTTTATTCTCCAAGGTGACTAAGTGGAAGTGGAAAGTGATAGGGACCTTTCTGGGCACATAGACAACCTGTGAATGGGTTGGTCTAAGTTGTAGCCTCTCCTCTTAAAATAATGCAAAAACTATTGCAGACACGCAAACTGTGAGGAGCAATTCACCCAAATGTAGGGGAGCAGTACAGTAGTGTCTGGAAGCAGAACACAGTGGACTTGATAGACAAAAAGAGTGGTCTGACATTGCAAATCCTATGCTCTTCTATCTCAAAGGAGTCTGGTGTCTTTTCCATGTTAGCTGCCAAACTATTCCTGGCTGCTGATCACAAGCAGGCTATTTTTATGTTGATGAACAGTGGAAAACATGCCTTGTCTGTAACTGTGCTGCTGCCTTCTTTAGCCAAAAGATGTTTGCCACTGTCCACGTACAAAATGAATGCTGAGTCAGTCGTATGTGCACCCACACAGATCTGCTGTGAGCGTGCCTGCATGCTGCGAGGCTTGGAGGATAAGTAGGATAAACAATCAATATAGTCACGTCTCAAAGACATTCCCTTCTGCCTGCTGTGTAAGCTTCCCATAGCCACTTGTCCAGTGCTGCCATCTAAACTGGGAGTGGCCTGGCCTAGCAGCATGCTGCTCCTTAAAAATCTCTCTTAAGAATCTGTATTCCTTAGACCAGATGTACCTTCTAATGTATTACAGAGAAGAGGAACTTGCAGGAACGTACTGTGATAACAGCAATATATGTGATTTGTATCTCTTCCCTGCCATCTTTAATAACCTCATTTCTGTGTCTTCCCCTACCCAGTTTAGATTACAGACTCCTCGAAGAGCGAGCTGGGGTTTTTTTTTGGAGGGGGAGGGGAGGCGGGGTTGGTTACATTTTTTTGCTGTGCACATATCTTTTCTCTGCCCCCTCATATGATCACATATATTTGTGGGTCTTCCATTCGCTATATTCTGATAATGAAGATACACATATTTTGCATCCTTGAATTGCATCTTCTGAGTTAAAGTTGGAATGAAGAAGTGGGGAAACATCATACAATTTCACTAAGAAGTCAAGCACATTTTCAAAAACATTCCCATGTGCAGTGCCACTGATGGGGATGTGTGTGGAGGGTGGAGTGTTGCTTGGGAGCCACCGTGTTGGGTATCCCAGAGGTTTCCAGAGGAGCAAAATACAGCGGCTGTCTTCACCTTTAGCCAGGTGGTAATACAAGACAATGAGCTTGTTGCTGAGACTAAACTCTCCTTTCAGCTCACTGATCACTGAGAATTTATTGTTCATTTTCAGGTAAACATATAGACATAGCACTGGTGAAAAGTGCCAACTTGATAGAAGATATGTAGAGTAGGAAAGTTGCAAAAGAATAGGCAGATCAATTTACTCCTTGTTCATCAGCCCATGGCTGCCCTGCCCAGTGTCACGAGGACATGGGGAGTTGGTAGCATTCATAGCCCAGTTAGGCAGCAGAATGGCTGCACTTGCTTCTATTATCTGCAAGTCTGTGTTGCTGCTAAGTTCATCTTGCTTTTGACTGAGTGCCCCCCAGGGTGGTGATGTGTGGTGATCACAGATTCTTCACAGTTACATTAGTATAGCATGAGGACCTTTAGTTTGTGTTAAAAGGAAAAAAAACACCACACCTGATGTGTTTTATTATTTATTTAAACAGGTAACTTGGACGTCAGCACATTGCAGCAGAGCAGCAGATATGCAACCAGCAGAGGTCCAACAGGAGTCTATAGTCAGTTATCTCCCACTCAGCCACATAGCTGCACAGATATATGACCTGTGGACTGGAATCAAATGGGGAGAGCAAGTTTACTTTGCTGAGCCAGACGCTCTGAAGGTATCTTACATTGCACCTAATTAGGCTTGCACTTTTCCTCTCAGGAAACATCCCAAGGAGAGAATATGATCTTTGAAGAGGTGCAGAAAATGAAGATTCAGAGTCCGTTATTGTAAGAATTGTAGAAAAATAAAATCCATTAACTTGTGATCCAGTGCTCTAAACTGTAATTAAAATATATAATCCAGATCCATAAGATTCTATTAAGACAGAAAAGTATGCATCTAAAGCAAAAGAAGTATAAGCAGTTTTTGGAGGAAGGGGAGGCAGAAGGAACTAGAGCACCAGTATACATACCTCCCCGATGTGTCAGACCTGGCATATGTTAGTGCATATGCCTGACTGAAGCAGGTTCAGCAGTCCTTCTTTATATCCTACATGTTCAGTGATGTTCTGTGTGTTAGTATTGCAAGATGCAGATGGCATCACCAAACCTCTTTATCACTGCTGTAGACCTTTTGCTATGTTTTGAAATGATTTAATGTTTTTAACAGGGCAGCTTGATCAACACTCTAAAAGAAGTGCAGCCAACATCTCACATGGGAGTTCCCAGAGTATGGGAGAAAATAATGGAGAAATTAAAGGATGCTTCTGCTCAGTCAGGATTTATGAAGAAGAAAATCCTGTCATGGGCTATGTCACTTAGCTTAGAGAGAAACCTAAACTGCTCAGGCAGGTAAGTATTGTAGTGTGTGAGTTCCACCAACCTGAAAGTAGCTATCTGCTTGTAATAAACTACAAAGCATCAGTGAGGCTCTAAGTGTAAATGGGTAAAATTTGCGCTGGCAACACAGCAAATATAATGCAAGAGGGAAGGTGTAGTTATCAATTAGTGTAGGCAATTGTTAACTCACAATGCTTTCCTGTTCCAGTGTTTTTTAAAGTGGGACACAATGAAGTGTGAAATTGCTTACAGAAAATGGTGTTCCAAAAGATAGTGCAATGATACTGCTTTGCTTGTCTGGTCATTCACAGAATCACAGAACGTTAGGGATTGGAAGGGACCTCAAAAGCTCATCCAGTCCAATCCCCCTGCCGGAGCAGGAACACCTCGATGAGGTTACACAGAAAGGCATCCAGGCGGGTTTGAACGTCTCCAGAGAAGGAGACTCCACAACCTCTCTGGGCAGCCTGTTCCAGTGCTCTGTCACCCTCACTGAGAAGAAGTTTCTTCTCAAATTTAAGTGGAACCTCCTGTGTTCCAGTTTGTGTCCTTTACCCCTTGTCTTATCATTGTTTGTCACCGAGAAGAGCCTGGCTCCATCCTCGTGACACTCACCCTTTAAATATTTATAAACATTAATGAGGTCTCCCCTCAGCCTCCTCTTCTGCAAACTAAAGAGACCCAGCTCCCTCAGCTGCTCCTCATAAGGGAGATGCTCCACTCCCTCATCATCTTTCATAATTCATAATTTCATAATTCAGCTTCTCAGGTCCTGGAAATTTCAGATTTTAGTGGTATAGGTTCTCAGAGACACAATTAACTGATAAAGAATCAGGAATACAAGAGCTTTAGTTTATACAATACATTTTCATGGAATTTTTTTTAGTGTATGTGCAGTATTCAGACACCACAAGAGTTGAAGTTCATTACCAGTGAAAGACACTGAATAAATGAAAAAAGGAGAAATATGTAACCTATTCTTACAAGATGTAATTTCTATCAACACCCAAAACCAAATGGCAAATATATCTCCAAACAAATTTTGTGTCTGAGTTTGTTTTGGAAATTCCATACGTTGCTCTGACTTACTGTGTCCTTCTCTTGTGTTTTGTACTCAGCAGTGATTTAAAGCAGTTCTGGACAAGGTTGGCAGACTACTTAGTGCTTGCAAAAATACGTAATGCACTGGGTTTTTCTTGCTGCCAGAAGCACTTTTGTGGTGCTGCTCCTCTCAATACAGAAACTCTGTATTTTTTCTTGGGTCTGAACATCACCCTGTATGAGGCCTATGGGATGAGTGAGACCACAGGCCCACATTGCCTGTCTGGGCCTTCTATTTACAGGCAGCACAGGTAATTTTACTTTCTTTTTTTTTTCAATATGGTTATGTTTAATTATATCTATGAGATCTTACAACTTATTTTATTTTCTCTCAAAGCATTGCCACTTTTGTGGCTTCAGGAGGCAAAATAACTTCAGGTCAGAAGCTGAACACGTTGCCTCCATTGCATGCCACACCAAGAGCACTGAAAGTGTTCTACAGCATTATATGCAGAACATAGTCACTAAATCTGATGTGTATCCTAGCCCTGGCCCAGGGTTGGATAACTTTCAAGAGCTCATATGCAAATATGTTTTTTGTGCCTGAAGAGGAAGGAAAAAACCCAAGGAAGCACAGGGCAAGATACACAACTGAGAAGTGCTTACATACATATATAACCTAGTGAATTAATATCCCATAACTTTCAAAGAGTTACAGCAGGGTGTTATTTACAGTCACTAATATTTTGATAGGTTCATGGATTTGGTGGATTAGATGTCTTATCAGTATTATATTTAATATTTCTGTGCTCCTTATGGTTTTTTCTGCTCTTCTCCGATAGCTGTGGTAAACCAGCACCTGGCTGCAGAGTGAAACTGGTGGGTAAAGATACAGAGGGCAATGGAGAAATCTGTTTCTGGGGAAGGACTGTTTTCATGGGTTATTTAAATATGGAGGACAAAACGAAAGAAGCCTTTGATGAGGATGGGTGGCTGCATTCTGGAGATTTAGGAAAACTAGACAAGGATGGCTTTCTGTACGTCACTGGAAGAATTAAAGGTAATAAGCAAAATCTTGCTCCATGCTTATGGTAGCTGTTCAACACTGTGCAGGTACATGTCCGAAGCGCCCCATCTAATTAAATGTCTTTCCTCTAATGCCTGCAGCATTGACCTAATAGGAAGGTAAAATAAAATTTCCTATGAGGAAACAACGGTGTGCACCGTTCAGGAAAGGTTTCCCTCTAGTCTGTAATAGGTGGCAATGATTCAGTTCCTACATGAATCTTTTTATCTCCCAGACCTTTATTCAGGATTAGTTATCAGCAATATAAAATAATAATGCAGATTTAATGTGTCTCCTTTGATTCTGTCTGGTCTCCCTCTGAATCTTGCAAAATTGTCTTAATTGCACAAGAAGTGCAACACAGACAACCCTCTGATACATAAGCTGTTGCTGTAGGTCAGAGATAGGTTCCTCTGATGCCTTAGGTGATGTGTTTGCAGAGACTGGTCTAGAAGCTTGAGAGCAGAAGGGGAAGTTAAAGCTAAATCAATAAGGGAGGTATCATTACCATACATAGCTTGAAGTCCTATGTGAGTAAGACTGGTCACTTGCTTGCTTGGAAGCTTTTTGTCACGATACACATTCAGAGAGTGGAACTGGTCATGGTGGAGATGTAACTGAAGAAAATTTAAAAGTTGAGTCACTGTCATCTTGGAATATATGATGAATCACTAGGGAGCTAACCTAGATGAATGAATTTGTCATAGGATGACATAGTGTCTTCTTAGGAGTCAGGACTTCAGTAGATACTATCAATAGCCTGCACCAAATACAGCTATCTTGATTTTTAACTTGCTTTCTTGACTGATTCGTTTTCCTTTAGCATAGCAGTTAGCAACTCCTAATCTCATTTCGTAGTAATATTTGTGTTTCACATCTTCTTGATTGCTGAACTAGTAACAGATACTCTCAATTACAGGATTGGTAGACCATCTGGGACTGTCTCGTTTCATTAGTTTTAAATCCAAGTCCAAATAGTATAAAAATCGAATAGCGGGTAGTAAAGAAGCAGGAATCACTACTTCCACTGCAAACTTCATCTCTTGGATCTTTACTTCCTCACACTCCTCTCTCCCTTCTTTCCATGTTTTTATTGAGCCTTCCAGCAGTAGTAACTTGTTTTTGTCTGACTCCTCTTGGTGGCTTTAAGAAGTAGTTTTAATCATGATGTTAACAACGAACTTGCTTTTTGTTGAGATAGAAACAGTAAAACAGAGAATGAACCCTATGCTAATTTGAAAGAGATGCTTGCTCACAGAAAAGTTTCAGGTCGTGTAACAGTGCCTTGAGAACATGTAACCTATTACTGGATTATGTAAAAATTATCTGGGGCAAATATGTTATACTGAGGGAGAACTGAGATCTTGAGCACTATTTGAATAATATTAGCATTTTAATGTTCAAGATAATTAATTAAAAGGCTTTGTTTTCTTTGAAGACACTATCTTTGGAAAAAAAAAACTCTTATTCTTTATGTCAGAATAAGAAAAATGGGTTGATCCAGACCAGATCTTCAGCATTTATTTGAATTCAACTAACAGCCTTTCTTTTTTTTGCCTAGATTTGATCATTACAGCTGGGGGTGAAAATGTGCCTCCAATTCCAATTGAAGACGCTGTTAAAAAAGAACTTCCAATTGTTAGTAATGCTATGGTGATTGGAGATAAAAAGAAGTTTTTGTCAATGTTGCTGACCCTAAAGGTACACCAGTTTTAATATTGATTTCAGTGACATTATACACCTGCACTTACGAAAACAAGAATTTTGAACTGTTTGTAAAGAGACCCAAAATTAGACAGGAAGATGTTAAAAAATAAAAAAAATGTATAGCAACTACAGACCAAATCCTGACGGTCTCAACTTCTTACAATTAGATGATTTGGTAAACATCTACGTGTTTACTGCTGTTTCTCCTATACGTATAAGATATTTTTAAATTTATATGGAAATTTTTAATTCATAAATGTTGAAAGAGTGAGAACTCTCTGTAATGTAGCACAGTAGCTTTTATTCTTACAGGTGAGTAAAGCCAACAAATGTTTCTGTTATGGGCAAACCCAGTTTCTAACAAACTTTCTGACAGAACCAAACCTTTCCAACAGAAACATTTCCTTACAGTTTTTTTCTTTTCATATGACACAAGAAGGATGTCTGTAAAACAAAAAAATCATAGCTTTGCTGTGATGTATGCTTCAATTGAGAAATCACTTTTTTCTAAAAGGTTTGTACCTTGTTCTGTGTACCCTTCAGGTTTTCTCAAGTTGTTTCCCCCTATGACTGACACTTGCTGTCTACAAGTACAGTAGAAATACTAATTTAAGTCTAATGTCAAAGAATGCTTCTATCATAAGCTTACGTTACACTACAGTAACACAATTTAATGATGACCTAAATGTTCCCCTGTAGCAACCGAGTGACTTGGAAAATATGGTAAAAATTCAAGGTCTATAGATGAACTTTTTGCATAACTCATTGACACGTTTTAAATCTGTTCATGTAATCTGCATATTAACAAAAAATATTTGCATTTGGTAGCTAAGTGGAAAGAAAAGCACTGTCATCTGTAGGTGCTTCTGCTTTTTAAGGCTTACAGAATGCTTGAGTACTGATGCTGAGCCTTCTTGAGTCTTACTAGTCGGGAAGAACCTGATCAGAGAAATATGTAATGCCTTGTAAGAGTGAGCATTTATTTGATGATGCACTTCATTTGATGTTTTAGAGTGTGGTGGACCCAGATACATCTGATCCCACTGACATTCTCACTGAGCAAGCTAGAGACTTCTGCCAGAAGACTGGTAGTAAAGCCACTAAAGTATCAGAGATTGTAGCTACAAGAGACCAGGCGATCTACCAGGCCATTCAGGAGGGAATCAACAAAGTCAACATGAATGCTACTAATAGGGTTCATTGCATTCAAAAATGGATAGTCCTGCCAAAAGATTTTTCCATTTCTGGGGGAGAACTAGGTAAGATTTACCGATTTATGTTGAAGTATGCACATAGTAAAGAGGCTGCTGATCTAATAGTATTCAAATACAGTTTTGTATGCCAAATTCTGGGTACAGCCACTAGAGGGAAAGGAAATGATATACAGCATGTGTTAAAGAATACAAAAATTGGATTTTTTGCTGTGTACATATGTGTCAATTTGTGCTTATTTACAAGTACAGCTCTACAGTTAAATTTCAGACTGCTTTGGGCGATTAATCAATTCTGGTTAATTCCTTTTCCATTACAGTACTAATAACTTTGAGTAATAGTACTGAAAATTTCTTGTTAAAAAAAAAGAGATAAACAAGACAGTGAAACCTGACAGCAGAGCCCCAGGCACATTACCAGGCTCTTTGACTAAACTGGAATTGTTTAAAAGCTTCCAAAAACATCATACTTTAAATTATTTTTTAATGAAAAAAGTAGTAATAGTCGGTCATCGCCCTCTCTTTCGCAGCAACATTTGACGTCCTCTTGCTTATGTGGAGGCAAACTTGCATACCATGCTCACTTCTCACTTTTGGCAGGTATTCACACTTACAGAATGGGAGATGTTCTTTCAAACAGGCTCTTAAATAGAAAATCTTAGGAACCAAAGCTCAAACTGAGGGGGAATTTTTGCTCTTATTTCTGCTGTTGACTAACTCCCTCTTTTAAGGTCCGACAATGAAGGTAAAACGGCTTGCCGTGCTTGAGAAATACAGAAATGAAGTGGACTCCTTCTATGAAGAATAAGAAGTCTTTCATCCAAGCATTAAGAAAGATCCGTGAGCTAAAGAAAGTATTTTCTAATCAAAAGCAGAAAATTTATGCTCGTTTTGGTTTTGCAGTCTATTGAACTGAACCACTAGTTAAACGACTGTGTCAATTTAGTTGTTCCTGATACTCACCTGATCATTTGTCCTCTTTTTACAGAAGCATCTACACAGTGGGTCAGTTTTCTATTGCTCGTTTTCCTTTATAGCCTAAATGATTTAAGATTAAAAAGATGCCGGTGTGTTGTGTAAAGTGGGTATAGCTAACCAATTCCTTTAGACTGAACACAGAATTTTTATATGACTGTCATCTTTGTTGTTGTTGTTCTACAGAACATTGCCTGTAGCTCATGATACAATTTGACTGGTCAGTAGTCAGCAGTACTGCTCAGTCAAACTGTTACACCACTCCAGTGATAAAGAGAATTATTTAAAAAGAATAGGAAGTCTGGGTTTTTTTCCTCTCGTAGAGAAGAGTTTGTTTTTGTTCACTAATACAACATTTCAGAACCTAAAGTCACTCCTCTTCCATTTTCACATTGGCTAGAATTCAACTGTAAAAACAGCAACTCATAATTTCTTAAATCCATGCTGAAATAAGCATGACTATTTCTCCTAAAACAAATAATAAAAAAGTTGAGGAAACAGCTACCTAAGACTGAATGACATAAAGTGGCAAATAAAGGAGCACTTACATTAAAGTGCTATTTAGAACAGAAACATCTTTAAAATCGTTTACAGCCCTTTTTTGTGTGTTTGGTTTTGGTTTTTTTAGCAAAAGAGTTTAGAAGCAATGTTTGTCAGTGTGTTCTGACAAATGTGAGCTGCATTTCTTCTTCCCCTTATAGAAAAAAAATTCACATTAGGTGAAGGACATACTTGGCAGAAAGTTGTCTAAACAGTTTGCTGTTAGTGAGTGATCTCTGGCAGTGTTATAATGGCTAACACAAGGTGGCAGGCTACAGCCACTGTTCTGGATCAAAAACCTGCAGAAACAGGGCACTGTTTCCATGCAAGTTCCATTACCAGTCTTACACATCTTATTAAGTTAAGATTTGTTGCAAGTACCAACAGTCAGCCCAACACATAAGACAAGATAGCAGCCTAGGATTATAAAAACAAAACAAGCAGTAGGACTTTGAAAAGTTTATTTTCCCCCATTTTGTGCGTATTGGTAATTCAGAAGTTTTTTAACAATATTAATCTCCAGGAAACAAGGAAGCAGCAGCTTGTAAAACACAGAAAGAAACATTGCCTATTCACCAAAAGCAGAGCACATGAGGAATAAAGCTCATTGTCCTTTCTCCATGTTGTTAGACTATAAAAAGCTGGGATGCTTACTTTATAGAGTAGTTACTCAAAGTTGATTTTACTTCTGAAACAACCAGCCTAAATGGTCTTAATAGAAAGTAACTAAGTGGAGTAATATCTATTAATAGAATTAAGCTTTAAGAAGCCTGATTCTGGAAGTAGGGATAATCCTGTGCTATAATCATGAGTTTTAAAATAAAGCACGAGTTGTAAAATAACTATTTTCTTGTAGGGTGTACTAACGGAGGCATACCTTAAGACATACAGATCAGAATGACTCGTATGACGATCTGCATGTGATGAAGGAAAAGAGGTGCTTTTGTGCCCATTAAGCTTAGTAAGCAGGGAAAAAGTCGCCTCAGATCCCCTTGAACAGGGATGAAGTGTATTTCTGGAACGTAGGCACCAGAGCCAAACCTTTGATCTGTCTCAATCCATTTAGGACTAGTCCCTTACATTCAGAGTTTCTAAATAAAATTACTAGTCAGTACAGTAAGACACAGAGAACAGACTATGCATAAAGGTACAACACAAAAAGCATTCTAGCAGTAGTCATGAAATATTTAGTATCAATTTGCCAAGTTAATACTTTCCCTTCATAATCTATGGCAGAAGTAATTTTGTATAATTTTCTCTCATTAGAACTCTGTTGTAAAATGTGTTTCAGAGGGGGAAAACTTGTAAGAATTACTTTGGTATATAGACTTCAAAAATAACTTTACTTCGACATTAAGTCTCACCCCTTGCTGGTTAATGGTTCCAGGCTTTTTAAAAATACACAAACAGAATAAATCTCTAGAATTTTGTATTTCATTATTTGTGCCTTTAAACGCTGTATGTCATGAATCACCGGAGTATCTAAAGTAGGTTTTTTTTCATTGCTTTTAACATGAAATTGCTATTTTAAGTTATTTTATACCCGTTTCTGTTTTTGAAGGTCATCTTGTGCTACTGTTAGGCTGAAAACCTATCTTTTATATTTCAGTAAGATCAATAAAGTAGGTTTTAACCCTTAAGGTGCTTTTACATTTCACTAATTCTGTTACTGGTTTATCTGCATAACTTTTATTTGTGGAAAGTAAAAACCTCGAGCTGAAATGGAAAACGGTAGACAGTTACAGTGGCAATAAAAGAATTCACTTACATAAAAATGTTCACCAGATAGAAAAAAAAATAAATAAGACAAAGCACTTAGGAAAAAGTCCACTGAAAGCAGGCACAAGCATAATTTGTAGCCATTTGGACTAAATTTATTAATGGAGAGGACATAACTAAAAAGTTTGCTCTCTTGAGACAAGCAAACGATACACATGGATACCAGGTTACATATACCGTACTTCGGGTGATGTGTCCTCTTGGAGTTATTACAAGTAGCATGAGAATCGTTTAGTCTGTGTCCCGTACTCTGCGGCAGATCTCTTCTGTGAATTCCGAACACTTGGCGCTACCTCCCAAGTCTTTTGTCAAGACCTGAAAGAAAGAAAAAAAATAATAATGGTTGCTAAACCATTTTACAGAGCTAGTCTTGTTTCTAAACAGTTCTGCATGTTCTTCTTATATGTTGTGTATGGATACTAAATAGGGGTGAGAACCAATACATCAAGGTTGAGTTTTTCTGCATCCCATGTAGCCTTCATCAATAAGGACTATGCAGATTGAAGCAGATAGAAAAAACTTGGCTATGAACATCAAACATTGCTACCCCTAGCTAGATTAAAGCAATCTAGGATGTAACTTAAAATCATTAGTTTTCATCTTACATGACACACACACAAACCTTAATTAAATGGCTGGGGAAAGGGAGGAAAGGGAGAAACAGCAAGCATCAGAGGCAATAAAGGTTACTATTTTAGGATCTTGTCATTTTATCTGCATTATGCTTTTTTCAACTTCAAAAGATTCTTTCCATTGTGAGCATGTACTCATAACATTGTAAGTAACTAGTAAACAAGCAGCTATGTCACAAAACTTGCACTGTGTTATCTGCCATAGAATTACTGACCTGCAGGTGGAGGATTTCATTTCCAGAGCAGTAAATGGAACCTTACAGGAGCACCTCTTTATTCACTTGTAAGTTTAGAATTTTTTATTTTAACGGGCTCCTACACACAGTAAGATAGCTGCAAACAGACCACTTAGGAAATTATGACAGCTTTTTGTTTGAACATGTTTGTTACTTTTAATTACAGAGCAGCTTCTTATGCCCAAGATAATTGAACCAACGTGGCTAATTGCTAATCCTCCTTAACTTCAGTCTTCGGGATCTTTCCAGCTGTGTTTTGAAAAGGTCCATGTCAAAGTAGATGAGTGAACCAATAATCTTACAAGCAAAAATTCATGTCAGATTTCAGAGCAGAAGCCACACCCCCCCCCCACAATATCCCATTTGAGTCTTAAATCCGGAATCACTTATTGCCAAAAGGAAATCACATAGAACCGTAATGGAAAAATGTAAATGCTGGATAAAAACTGTTCTTTTGTTGTCCAAAAAGGAGTGAAAGCAGTTAGGAAGAAAAAAGAAAGTAAATGACCTGAAAAAAATAGGAGCAGAAGTATTACTATCAACCAAAATGCTATAAACAAAGTGGATGATTAAGCCTGTGAAAGTCCTTCACTTCAGGATCCAGACTTAAATATATATGCTTCATGTGCATTATAAACTTCACAAGTGAAATACCCCTAGTTACTTAAACCTCTAATCCCTTTCATGAAAAACAGACATCCAGTTCTAGCTTTTAGAGTTAAGAAAGCTGTGGCAATGTAAGATGAGCATTACTGAGACACAAGGAATGCTGCAGCAGTCCTTATTACTGAGGTGGGCAGATTTAGTACCACCAAAGATAACACAATTACTATCAGAGAAGTATAGTGGCACTGCTCATGTGTCAGGCCAGTACAGCAGGTCATCCACTGTTCTGGTGTTAATGGTCCAAGTTCATTTTTGCTGTGATAGAGTATGATTTTAATTCACTGCATTTATTTGCACACCCTTATTTTACCTTTCCATCTTTAATTGTATCAAAGCAAGCTGTCTCAATTTTAGTGGCATGTTTGTGTAGTCCCATGTGACGCAACATCATTACGGCACTCAGAAGAAGGGCAGTTGGATTTGCCAGGTCTTTTCCTGCGATGTCTGGTGCTGTTCCATGAACCTGGAAATAAAAGTTATGATCATCATCTGTTACGATGTCGATATGGTGTTTAAAATGTCCCAGGCAATTCAAGTGTATGCAAGCAACCTGAGAGACAGTCCTCATGCACAAGCATGTTAAAATAGGACTTACTGTACTGTGATACAGTTAGTGGAAAGAAGATAACACCAGAACAATTCAGTTGAAAGGCATCAGAAACGGGGAACTAGGTTGCCTAATATCTCCTAATTATGCCCCTCAAGTTCTATTTCACAGAGGGTATTTCTCTTATGAAAAAGGGGGAAAATGAAGTGTCAGTAAATGCATGCGCAAAAAACTTAACTACTATCTCTGGGTAAAGTTTCAGCATCTCCATAGTAAAAAATAGTTTTACGGAGAGCTTAGTTAAATGACAGTCACATTGCACGTCATGGAAAAGTTTTAGATTCTCAAGTTGAGACAAAGTAGCTATAACCACTGTACCTTTCATGAGAAGACTTACCGATTCAAAAATTGCAACTCCATTAGCACCGATATTTCCACTTGGTGTTACTCCAAGCCCCCCAATCAGTCCAGCACACAAGTCACTGAAAAAACAAACAAGTAATAAAAAAGCCAAACCAAAACACCAAACAGAAAAACCCACAAGTTTTTCCAAATGCAGTTCCCTCTCTGTGAGGTATTAAAATATTTTTGTTTCTCATTTCATTGCAGCAATAACTTTACATACCCATCAGTCTGAGAATAATATTGGGCAAGAAGAGATGTTGTGAGCCACTTGTACGCTATTGGAACATTTGCAAATTTGTAGAACTACTAGCAGGAGACAACTTAATAAAGGAAAATTAAAAGGAAATTCCAAGTACTAGAATAAAGCTGATTAAGACAGACATAGGCACAACAAAAGGTACTCGAAGCACAGAATACCTGTAGCAGTCTGAAAAACTAGCAGAAATTGTACAGTTCCCTGTAACTATCTAAAAGTTTTACTACCTCTGAAAAGGCTGCAGAACTACTTCTCATATGTAAAGTCCTCCTAAAAATGTGGGAGAACTTTGCTCAGGTATATGAATAACTAATAGTTTTAAAGTTTACTGGATGTAGGTTAAGGAACGTGTTTCAGGTGACACCAGACTTTCCCCCTTGCTTTACTGAATAGCCTGTAAGTCACAAGTCTGACGTTAGCAGATAGATCATCGGACATAAGCAAATTGCATTTGATTTCCTCAAAAATTAACAGGGGGAAGGACAAACCAACTGTGCCTGTAGTCATCATACTGTACCCTCAAAGCTGAACATACTGATAAACAAGGCTCTTCAAACCAATATTTTAGCATACCCTTATATTGCCTACACCTTAGGTAATCAAGGGCTAAGAAGCAGAAAAGTTTGGATGATCTTGCAGAATATTTTAAGTTTAAGCTAAAAGAAACTTACTAGCTTTAGTTGCATAGACTCCAGGGGAAAAAACAACAACACAGTCTACATTTGTCACTTTAGGTATTTAATGCTTTAAGGTAAGGGATTTGGCCAAGAAAACTGTCCAAAACCTGTCTGGCATTATGTTCATGCTTTAAAAAAAGCACTATGGGTGAAACTTTCCCCAGTGACAAAATTGCCCTTCTTCAACAACAGACTCACATTTATTGAAGATTTTTAGAACGATTGAATTCTTTATGGAATTTCTATGAGAAGCTTAAAATTGGTGATACTGAAGTAGGTAAAGTGAGTTGAAATAGCACTGAAGACGGGACTCATCTGATTTGATCTCTTTTAGTTAACAGCGTAGCAACTGCTGTGAGGGCCCTATGGACTCCTCTACCAATTCTTAAAGCAAGAAGCATTAGCTGAAGTCTGATTTTTCTTAGAGGTGACAGCCAGTCACTTATCAGACAGTGCCATTTTAGGAGAAGCTCAAGAAGAATTTCTTCTTATGTGAAAGTTACCGTTACATTTATTATGTGTACAAAAACAGGAGATGGAACCTAAGATATAAATAGCTGCTGTTGAACTTTTAAACAAATTCTGATTCAAGCTATTTTCTCAATCTCTCCTTAGAGGTTCAAGGAGAAGCAGTGTTATGTTATACACCTAAAAGTTCAGATTAAGACACTTAATTTTACACGCAATATTTAACTGAAATTACACTCTACATAAACATTTTACAGAATGGATTTTGACTTCAAGACATCAAGTACGTCTAGTATTGATGTTATTCAAATATGAAATCTGAAGATAAGGAAAAAATACAATACATAAACCAAGAGCTGGTACGATATGAAGAGGGCACACATTTCATTCTTCATTGACTGTAGAATCATTTAACTGTATGGCTAGCTTGCTCTAAACATCATGGTCCCAGTCATCTTACACTATCCATGTTAGTGCTTAAGATTAGACAGTTTTTCCCCCACTATCTAACTAAGTGTTCTTAATTATAAGTTGAGCTATTAAATTCTTCACAGACTTGGAGAAACTTCTCTTCTGCCTCATCTGAATGATATTCATTGGCTCCATAAGCAGAAACTCAATAAGAAGCACGTTCTCATCATATAGCCCCTTTTAACAAAATATTAATACCTGAAGTGTAATAATACCGTCCTTTCATCCCAAAGTCTGATTTACAAAGTTTTAAACTCTGGATGCATAAAATCAGCTAACATATAACCTGAATACCTGTCTGGAAAGTAACAGTGTTTTACATGTTGCATTAGCTTAAAAAAAAATCTCCATACCTGAGGATGTCACCATACAAGTTTGGCATAACAAGCACATCAAATTGTGATGGATCCTGAACCATCTAGAAAGAAGTATATTTTCATTAAGGTTAAGAATTTAAACTAAAAAATAACCACAGTTAAACCATCTAAATACTCACATTCAGACACACAGTATCCAGATACATTTCATTAAATTTAATATCTTTACAGTTTTCCGCTGCCTCCCTGCATTTTCTCAAGAAAAGCCCATCAGACATTCTCCTGCAAGTAGATAAGCAAGACAATGTTGCAGTTATTGTAAGGAAGCAATGCTGAAGATAAAACTGCATGCAACAGAGGATTAAATAAAAATATTAGAGTGCAAAAACTTAACTTGTGGTTACTTATCCCTTATGTTAAATATAAATAATATTTAAAATATATTACAGTCAGAGAAGTTATGCTTTTTAAATTTCCTCCTAAAATATTTTTGTATCAGTAGTTTAATAGGCATACATTAATTCTTAGGATAACTCATATTCATTTACTAAAGTCCTACTGAGTTTGTAAAGGTGGTGTCACCTCATATCATGTTTTGTGACACAGTTCAGTACAAAGCGGCTTGGAAACTGTAAAAGACACCAGCCATTTTCATCCTCAGTTTTTAAAATTAATTTTCCTAGCTAAAGACTATTTTTAAAATAAGAACTTTGCAAGGATAATCACAGGATTACTACAAACGTACTAATAAAAACTTTAGAACGTAATTACTACAGCTCTAGCAATACTGGTCAGTATTGCCCGTTTTAGCTAGGAGGCATTTACTTCACTTGTTGTCCATTTTACTTACTCCCATTAGTATCAACAAAAGTTATACATTTGAGGAAGACTTAAAAAGTTATTTATCATTAAATAGGTATTACTATTTGTTGTTGTTCTCAAAAAGAAGTGTCAACATACATAATATTTGCCTTGTGCACAGCAGTAACATGGCTTCTCTGATTATTTCTGGCATACTCAAAAGCAAATTCTGCAATACGCTTGCTAGCTGCTTCTGTGATCAGCTTGATACTTTGCACCACACCTTCAACAATCTGAAAGACAGCAGTTGCATTGACAGTAAAAGTGTAAGCCAATTTTTCAAGTCACTAGTATGAACATTTGGAACCAAGTAGTGGAATTCTGAGTGAGGCAGCCTCACCAATGTATTTCACAATGTAGTAACTTTTTTATGGGTAGCAAACTTAAACAGCACCCAATGTCTTAGTACTAGACCCCTGAGATTGGCAAAGTTATCGTTTATGAAACACAAAACCTAACAGAAACATCTCCAGCAACTTACCACATGCTCAATTCCACTGTATTCGCCTTCTGTGTTCTCTCGAATTGTGACAATGTTCACGTCTGCGTATGGGGTTTTGTACCCTTCAATTGAGACACAGGGACGTACGTTTGCATAAAGGTCAAAGGTTTTACGTAGAAGCAGATTCATTGATGGGTGCCCTGCAGCAATTGGAGTCTTCAAAGGCCCTGAAGAAAAAAAAAGGAAACACAAGAATGAATGAGAAGATAAACACCTCCATGAATTTTAAAGTTGAAACTCTAGCTGAAGTGGTACTCTTACAGAAGATCTCTAAATTCCTATTTAGCCCTTATGCTTGAAATGCTATGGGAATTCTCTGTGCTAGCAAGAGTACTACACAGTGATCTTCATCAGCTGTTTAAAGGCCGAATTGCGAGCCTTTCTCGGAATAGTTTTTACAAAAGGTTTTCACTGAAAACAACATAAAAAGATACTATTCATTAGGAATATAGTTGTCACATACTATTGTATAATAACTGCATTAGAGGTGCATTCTGCATAAAGTAATACTCACCTTTAACATAATAGCTAGAATATCTATGAAGATTATAGCTTTCAAATGAAGGACTGTTTTAAGATCACAAAAGATGACCTGACAGGCTGTCCTCTATAATTAGCCATTTTATTGTGCTACAGATGAAGGACTTTAGCTTTAAATCAGACACACAATAAAAACAACAGTATTTAATGTGTTTGTATTAATCTCTAAAGTACCTTTTAGTCCCATTTTGTTTTTATCCATGGATTCTTTGGCATCTGGAGGTATCATCCACTTCCCACCTGGTCCTTGGATAGCTGTAACATTCCTCTCTTCCCACTGAATTGGAGCCTAAACACATTTACTCTATGTTAACTTAAGTGTCATGACTTATGCTTCAAGTTCGAACTTCCCTTTCACAAAAAGATGCATAAGGAATTTTGTCCAGGCCTTTCTAAACAATTTTTCTCTGGTGAGTAAGAGTAAACATGAGATGTCTGAACTCAAGAATAAACAATTTTTAAAAAATGTAACTAAGTAAGTTCAAATGAAATAGTATGAGCAACATATAATCATAAGCTTGAATACTACAAGATGCCTCCCTAGGCATCATATACGTAGAATTGATTAGAGTTGCAATATACGTGCTACTTCTTTCAAGCTCTTAGAGCTGTATACCAGAGACAAGACATTTGACAACTGAATTCCTTGAGAACTCATTATCCATGCTGCCTGGAAGACAGTACACAACACAGATATATCTGTTATCTAACTGAAAATCTACAAATGTTCCACAATGCTTTCTGAATTTGCATTTACCACAGGAATCTTCTAAATGGAGACTGGCTGCCACCCATTCATTTCATCAGGAAGGACCATAAAGGAAAAGATTCAAGGGCTTTCATAAGGAAACAGAACCAATCTAAGCATAATGTACTAGAGAATCCTTTTTGAAACAAGCAAATCTGATTACGTATTGCACACATGCACTCAAACACACACTTAGGTTTTACTCCTCCACACCTCCTGCTTGACTCCCCAGAAACAACCAAAACTGTTGTAAGGTTTTCATGTATAATTAAAGAGAACTTCACTTTTTCCAAATCTAAGTCAGATAGTTTTAATAGAAAGGGACCAATGTGGAACAATTTAACAGGCATCTTTCCTGAAAAGCTGTATTTCCTTTCTAGGAAACTGGAGAAATTCTGGTCAAGTTCCTCAGATAGGCAGTAAAACAGTTCTTGGATAGACTTAGTTTTCATACCACTTAAGTAAATGTGCTTGGCAGTGCAGCAGAGTAATTGCATTTTGATTTCTAAAAATAAGACAGTCCTTTCACACGCTTTCATCTGCACTGGAAGTCACAATGAATGAAAGAACATCCTCTATCAGTTGCTCAGGATTGCTACATCAACAAGATTTTACATGAGATATTTTCATGTTTCCAAAAATTAAACTCAGCATTTGCTCTCTACTCCTCTGCCAGTTAACAGTTTCAAGCCCTGCCTTGGTATTGCAATCCTGTATTTTATTAGCTGAAGTTTCAGATTCTTTCTATTGTCAAGAAGTTTTAAGAGCTTAAACATGACTTGATTATTTGGAAGTTAAAGAGAAAACATTTTTAATACAGGTGGTAAATACTTGTTGTAGATAAACTTACGTGCAAGGCAAATATGACTTACTTTGGCAGCATCAAAGATCTTCATGACAGCCGCAGAAATTTCAGGTCCTATGCCATCTCCTGGGATTAAAGTTACTGTTTGTACCTAGGTAAAGAAATATCAGTAGGATCAAATGAATGCTTGTTTTCTATATAGAATACGTTTTCATGTGTTGTAGGAACCAAGTAACTACTGGAAAAGAAAAGAAAGTTTCAGTGAGCAAATATCACTGTGAAGAACAGCAGTACTGGAGAGAAGCAATGACTAGCTTGCTTTCAAAGGGAGCGTGCACGTATTTTGAGACAATGGATTAAAAATCTGCCTACTACCTATTCCTGTTTCAAAATAGGTTTAACCTGAAAGGCAGGTTCCTGCTTGGTACTTGAAAGGAATGATCTCAGCATGAAATTTGGAGAGGAGATAATGTGACCAAGTTACGGCTCTGTTACCGGTATGTGTCCAGTATTATCAACATGCTGCATAATACTGACAGCTAGCAGAGATTAAATTTATGAAATCCTACATTCACTTAAAAAATATCTCATGCATCTCTAAACTTAAGTGACTTCCTAAAAATCTCAGACCCATTTCAGCAATATAAAGTTATTTTCCTCCCATAGTGTTCTCAGTCTTGTTTCTTTTATCATCTTCAAGCAGATGAAATAAATTGCACAGCCGAGGCTCACTAAATAACAGAGGAAGAAACTACTCCACCTTCATAACAAAAAATAAATTATGATCACTATGCTAATTGTACGTACCCCGGCTCTTTTTGTTTTATTTAAACATCCCCAACAGTTTTGTCAAGGCTCCTTATTACCTACAAAAAACCCTGCTCAGATACAGTGTTACTTGCGAAACCCTAATTAGAATAAACTTGCAAGATATGTTTCCATCCTTCTCCACACAAAATATTCAGAATTTCAATATATATTGACTATTATTAATTAATTTGAGCCAAAGAAATTCACTGTGCACAACAAAAGCAGCAGAGCTTCGGATAAAAGACCACTGCTGTTGAGCAAGCGCATAACTGACGGAATTCCTCAAGATGAGTTTTGTGCTGTCTTGCAGTGTTGCTTTGCAGCGCAGCAGGACTCCACCTGAGCCAGAGGACATTTCATCTGGAACAGGAATGTGGTACAAATGGAACCGGAGATCCCTGACCTTCTCAATCTTACAATACTGTGTAAGATACAAGCGACACTTCAGCTTCTTTTCTAGCTCTTCTACAAAACTTATAATTAAAAGCCACAGTTCCTCTTTAAAATTAAGTCCTACTTAAGGGTGCATGCAGTAGTGCTGAGCCTTGCTTCTGCCTCAGGAGTTTTCAAGGCCATCTTCACTGGAAAACAAAGGCCTGTGGGCACCTCAAACACATACAAAGGTAAAAGGTCTACAAGGAAATACACAGTCAGAGTCTAAATACTTTAAAGAAGGCCTTGAAAATGCAGAACTTTAGATACAAAGTATTCTAAAAGCAACACTAACACTAAAATCTAGTGCTTAGAGAAGTCTGCAAAATAATGAAAATGAGAAGCTTCTCAACAGTCTTTCTACTTTGCCCAATATTTGCCCATTTCCAGATGAGTTTCAGAAGACCGGCTTATGTCCATAATTTGTGAAAAGTTTTCATGCCACTTCTATAATTTTATAAAGCCTTTTGTATTATCACTTACGCTTTAATATGCAATTGCCGAAGACAGTAGTTAACCAATATAAATCCAGCATGGCATTAAGAGCATATATGTTCACTTATTTAGGTCTTATTTTTTGAGAAAGTAAAAATAACAGCAATCTTATAAAAGCAGATTTCTGAATCCCTTTCTTGAGAAACTTCTTAAAAGAAAAAAATGGTACTATTATACTCACAGCACTACCAAAACTTCTGGTCACCTGTTTTTGTTTTTTGAAAGCACCTAGCAATCGAGAAACCTGCAAGAATATAAAACAAAAAGATGCTGTTTTACTACACAAATGGGATTTTGTAAAGTTAACAGTATTGCAGCAAATCTGCATTTTAAATTCATACAACTTTACATTTCCTGCCTTGAAGTAGTATAAAAATGCAAACGAAACGAGTAACGAAGGCTTTGCCAAGTGCACTGATATCCCATGCGGGTATTCTTAGAGCAGGGTAAAGTCAGGACAGCTGCACCGTGCAGCGCGCTCCTCTCTGGCCTGGGGTGAGGAGAAGTTACGAGACAGTACCCTGGGTCCTTCCACACTACACATCTGAAATAAGGTTGCAGTAGCTCTAACTGAATAGAGATCTTAACAATTAAGATCCGTGGAAAGCAAAGTGAAAAACCAAACACTTTCACTACCGGTTGAGTGCACAGTATCTTTACACATTTTAGGTAATCTTTTTGAAACTGCTTGGCATTAGTGTCACTTCTTCCATTCAAACTGTGGTGAATTTTGTTCTTCCACGTTTTACATCTGTTGGTTTTGTACTGCTGCCTTCTGCGTGCCTGAGTTTTTAAAATGCATAACTGAAATGCACATTAAAGACAAAATTCACCATAGCAACGAGTCTACACTCATGCTTAAACGTAGCTGTATGGCAAAAGGGCACTAAGAGAAACATATATTGTCATGTATATTGTAATGAATGCTGTGGGAGCAGCAGCAATTAAAGCTAGAATTTATTTTTACTTGTAACCCAACATGAGATGTACAAGGTCATTGCAACACACGAGTGATGTTTACCATAGCCAGCCATATATTTAAGGCAATAGCTGGAGCAGTAAATGAGGTGAATTTGACTACACCAGTGCGAGTGCCCTCAAGGTCCAGTTCCCCTGCATGTCATCAGGATTCCCACTCCAGAGTTGCCCTGGACAGTTGTCTGTTCCGGCAGAAATCATGGGCCTGGCATGTTACGCATAAGCTCCACATCTGTAACGCTCGCAGAGCATCCGGCTGAACAACACTGATCCATTCTGACCTTAAAGTCACGTGTAGTGATTAACTCTTGACAGCTTTTCTGTATTTTAGCAGACAGGTGAAGTAGGATTTCCTCGATGCCTTACCCTCCAACAGGGTATCAGTAAAAGGCACAAAAGAAATTTCATTTACTCGAGGCTAAAAGCAGCGACATCCCTGTCACAGCCCCCGGAATAACGGTGGCTTTTCAGGGCAGTTCAGAGCCAGCAACCCCAAAGGACAGGGAGCGGCCCAGAAAGCTGGGCAGCACCCGGCCGCTCTGGTTTTTCCCCAGGAGACTCCGCAGTGACTGGCACAGCGGGCCCGCATCAGCGATGCCGTTCGTAACTGGCACTGCGGAGAGACTCCCCGACGATGCGGTGACC